TCTTCTTAAAATTTCTATCTTTAAGAAAGTAAAATTCATATAAAAACTGGCAGAAGTAACTGTGAACGCCCTTTATCCCTGACCGAGTCAAAATCTGTCCATCTCTTCTAGATTAAATGTGCATCTCCGTCAGAAGTCGTATTAAATGGTTCATCTAGTTTAAAGCCCACTTTCTGGCCGTTACTTCAAAGTCGCCTCTACAAGTGGACTAATTTTGGTCTTATCAAAAGATCATTACTTCTTGGGTCTGCATATAACTGGCAGTCCGGTTTAGTTACACCTCCCTCTGGTGCACAGGCGTCGCCCGAGGAAAGGGACACTTCCCCTTTAAGAGGGAGGCGGCCATCTGCCCAAACAAAACAAACAATAAAAGGAGAGATTCCTCAAATGTGGCTCGATCCAACAGCAGGTATGTGAAAAGAAAACATCACTTTATGCCAACAAATGAGTGGAGTGACTCACTAACAGCCCCAGTCAGCTGATTTTCCCTCTTGGGCACCCCCCCCCCCCACACACACACACAAACACACACATTGTCCTTTGCAGACGCTGTAGCTGAATTTTTACAAATAATCTGCACTGAGGCAATACTACATTTTGCCTTGGTGCTTCTTTCCTAACAGGCGCTAATGTGAGTTGATGCGCTTATCGGTGGGTTAGGATGCTGTGCCTGTGATTGGAAGGTTGTGGGTTCAAATCCCTGGGTTGGCAGAGTGGTGTCGCAATTGGGCCCTCGAACAAGGCCCTTAACCCTCAGTTGCACCAGGGTGTGCTTGGTCCTGCTTTCTCGATTGTACGTTGCTTTACTGATCTGCATGCATGCAATCTCACTGCTGGAGTCAATCTCACCCATCCGCCTTCCGAACACTTATCAGGCTCCTGGGAGGGTGTGGAGCCCATCCCAGGATGGAGTGCACCCTGGAAGGGATGCTGCGCTATCACAGAGACAGTGCCTAACTGCATGTCTTTGGACACCAGGAAACCCCACATGACATGGGGTGAACATGCAAACTCCAAACGCAGAGAGAAAAGACAGGATTCGAACCCCTCACCCTGGAGGTGTGAGAGAACGGAGCCACCATGTCAGCAATGAATCTTATATGTAGTACAAATTTAATAATGAATGCATGTAGGTCTTTTAGTACTATCACTTATGGTATAAGTATATGGCTTATAATTCTTCAGGGTAAGACGGATCTCTCAGTAAGGCAGCTCAGGTTACACGCTTCACTCTAAGGTACAACAGCAACCCGCTGTGCAATCGATCCTCCATTTATCTGACATTCGGACACATAGATCTCAGCTTCTGAGCCAAAGACAGCTGGTCTGCATCCCCAGTAAGGGCTGGGTTTGGAAAGACACTTATGTGCTCCGTGGGAAGGTCATTACAAACAGGTGAAGAACCATTTTTTACTGTATATGCAGCAAGCCATCTTCTCTGTACCCCTTCAGAAGGCTTTGCGAAGCCTTTGTTCAAAGCGGCTTTTTTCAAACTGCTTTTCTGCTGAGCCTCCACTTGCATGGTTATAAAGCGCTTGAGTTCAGTTAAGCATTAAATCCTTGCCTTCTGTTAAACAACCACTGGGGTTAATTGTGGAACAAGGCCAAAGTCCGTCTCTTCGGAAAAGGGGAAACTCCCATCCTTGCTCAAGAATATTATTTAATATTTCTCTCCCACTGATGTGCTCAGGCTAGGACTGCCTGCAAATTGCCACGGAGAATCATGTGTGGCCTATTTTCTACAATGGGGAAAAAAAATATAAAGTTATCTAATTTCAAAATGACAATGAGGAGAGTTGAGCCAATGGGGAGAGCTAAGACAATGGGGATAGCCCAGCCAATGGGGAGAGCTAAGACAATGGAGAGAGTTAAGCCAATGGGGAAAGCTAAAGCAATGGGGATAGCTGAACCAATGGGGAAAGCTGAGCCAATTGGGATAACTAAGACAAGGGGATAGCCCAGCTAATGGGGAGAGCTAAGACAATGGGGATTGCCTAGCCA